TAAAACTTGGCATAGGAAAGTTCAAACAGACTTTTATGATGCCAAACTTCTTTCTACTACTACCACCAAAATAAAGTTATTAAGATACTGATTACTAGGATATACAAATTGAATAGATAGGGAAACCATCAAAATTTGGGGAGAAAAGTTCTGATATTACAGCATAAAAATCCTGAAAAATGAATAAAAAGTATATACCAAGTTGCTCAATAATTTTTGCTAGGCTTTTTGGATAAGTATGATTTTATTATACCTAGAAGTACAAAAAACAATGGGATTATATAAAGGATGTGATTGGTTTCTTAAGGAAATGTGTCTTTAATCAAGGTATTAATGGCTATAAAACAATAGCAAAGTGATGTACATGATCTCTAGTGAATTTTTCCACAAATAAAGTAGCTTTTTTTAAAGAAAATAAGTTGTAAAATAACAAATATCAATCGTGTAGAAAACAATGAAGAAGAATTTATGAAGAAATGGGGACAATTAAGTTTAATTAAATTTAATTAAGAGAGAGTCTTAAAAATTATACTCACAGAAGTTTAAAACATGAGAAGAGGAAGATGGTACAATGCAAAATTGGACCCAAGTTCAAAAGTAAAAAATATAAGTAAACATCCTGAGAAAGGTACTAAATGAGGCAGTTTTTACTTGACTTTTGCATATCTTCCTTCTTGAGATATAAGGAAGGCTCTGAACCATTGCTTTGCTAACTAGAGACCTTAAAGGCACAGTTCTCTAAAATGCTCCCTCTGGGAGAATGTGATCCATTCTTCAAGAAACTCACTAGCATTTAAAGGCCCTGAAAGGTCCTCCAAAAAAGAAAACTAAACATTTTTCCAGAATTATTGACCATGGAACCCAATTTTAAGTAAAACCTGTTAACATTTTCCAAAGACACCCTTTTTTACAAAATTTTCTCCTAGAAAATTAAACCAGATTATTAGAAATAATAAGTTTTGAGATGAACTCAATTATGTTTGAAAATACATCGTGATATTCACTTCTTTTTCCACATCAGAAGGTGTTAGACTTGCTTTCTTTAAAGCCTCTTTCAAATACAAGATCGTATAATTTCAAAATGTTTAAGAGCATATTTGACATTCATGTCCCTATTTTATTTTTAGAAAAATCTGAACAGGGTCAATCAAGTGCTTATCAACTTCCACTGCTTAGATAAAATGTATGGAATCTCTTTAATATATTCTTAATTATGCATATATATTTAATGTACAAATATTCCCTGAGTGAATTATCCGTTTAGGGGATTTTTTTTTTTTATTGACCCTCATGGTCTCTTGGTCTCTTTGAGTGTGTCTAATTATACAAAAAAGCTAAATTTAAATTACTTTATATGTATATAAATTCTCTTTCTCCTTTCCATTAGCATGGATAATCAAGAATTCATAGTATTGTGGATTTTTAAATGTCAGATTGTAAAGCTGTCTTGCCTATTACAGTAAAAACTTCATTAAAGGCTATCATGTATTCCAAGTGATGTGTAATTCAAAGCAGCTGCACATCCACCTCCCCCTCTCCAGATGTACTATTGTCTTTAGAATAAAAACATCAGATAATCCAAGTGCTCTTTCATTTCAAGCCTAGTTTCTAGGTGCCAGGAATTTCAAGGTAACTATGTTTTAATATAGTTACTATATTCCATTGCCATCAAATCCACTGGCCCATGTGTTTTACAGTAATGGATCCTTAATTATGTCTTTCTTAAAGCCTTATATTTTAGCCTCGCACATGTCAAATGATTTTTTTTTTTTTTAATTTTTAAAGGTTTTTGGTCATAGTAGGAAAGATTCTCCCCTTTCTCACTGAAGGAAAGAATATTCACTTTTGGGTCTGAAATAACCTAATTTTATTTTCTTTGATCTATGAACTCTGTGTGATTGTTTTTGAAAAAGTTGACACATATCCACTGAAATGCATTTTTTTGTACTTAAATGTCATAAATTAAAATAATGACAGTTTCCTAATAAGAACATGTGTGCTTTAATCGCTTTTCCTAAAGAGGTTAAATTTATGATGAAGAAAAATAAGATTAAGTGACTATGGGAATGATGAGAAACTAATGAACACGAAGTATGTATCTTAAAAGATCAAGCCAGAAGCAAACCTCATGTAAACTATTGTTCTTTTATTATATATAAGCCAAGGACAACTTCGACTAAGATTAAAATAAAAGCTGATTTCATATCCCTCTTGTCTTCCTTCAAAATGGTGTGTTTTTTTAAGCTAAACTTCTCTGTCATCAATAATTTTGTAAATTACTTTTTACAAAGGAAAGATAAAACCTGTCTTTATGTAAACCCTTACACATCACAAAAAGACTTACGAGCGTTCCAAACTTAACGGTTTTGGCACACCAACTGCATAACATTGAGGGAGGAGAAAGGGGTTGGCAGAGAGTGTATTTAGGATCAATGCCACCCACCATCAAGTAATGGTTTAAGTAGAAAGTAATCAGAGGGAGACCACAGCAGCTAAATTTCAACCAAAGATATTCTAGGTTTAGAACAATAAATAATTTTAATCAGGTATGTTCCAAGTAGCAAATACGGCTCTAAGGCTATAACTCAGCCTGAATAAGCACTTGGAAAGTCTGCTGGATCAGCAGCTACTCCATATAAACAGCATACCACCTGACATTCCATTAAAATCTGGAACACCATTGGTACAGAGAGGCCCATATGTTGTGAAATCTAAACACCATGCACTAGAAAACATATCCAATTTATTAATGCAAACAGCATTTTTCACCTACATCAGAACATACGTCACAAGACAAAAGGTGTTATGGAAATGTTGATATTGATAAAAGAGAGAGACACACGTGAAAGCCTTAGCACTTTCCTGGAGTCCTGCCTTATTAGAGCCAGAATTGCCTTATAATAAGGTCCTTCTAGTGTGTTAGTAACTAAACACTCTTGGAAGGGATCCAACATGAACCACCTCTCCAGGAGTCTCCAATGTAGTAACATGACACTTAAGCTTCCACAAAAACCAGTGTCCATGTTTGATGAATAAGTCATTAAGACAGTTTCTAGGATGCTAAAGGGATTGCTCTTCTTATCAAGGCACACAACCTTGTATATGTGCTCCAAGCTGCAATTCATCATTTCAAGGGAACTTCTGGCCTCCGTATCAGAGTTTATCATTTGATGGCATAAGACTACAGTGAAGCTGATAAGGGACACTTTGAAATTATAATGCATGAAATGAGTTGAAGCCAAAAAGCACATGGAACCTAAGTTATTAAAACCCTTATCCATCCCCAACTCAGGGTTCACTCAGCCTAAAACAAACATACAAAAACTATGCAATATGTGTGAATGAAACAAACTCACATTCCACTTCCAAATGTTGTGATTCATACTAAAAATAAAATTTGACACAAAAAATACTCTTCATCTCTTGGGTACCTCAGCTGCTCCCTAAGAATATTACCAAGAAAGTAAATATCAAAATAAGAGTGATTTGAGTATCTTCATGTATCCACCCGCCTTGCCCACCCAACTTCCTTCCAATTCTTGTTGCTCCCACACTGCGCCTTCAGTGAGCTCTGCCCTCAGACCTGCACTAAGGTAAACAGAGCATTCGCTGGTGTGGTCAGCTGTCAGAACAGCCTCCTCAGGTGGCTGGTGTACTATGGAGAACCCAGAGCAGGTTTCTGTTTCCTTAGCAGAGGCCAGCTCCTCGCAGGTTATGCTCATGGTTTGAAGAAGAAAGTGAAATCTGGTTCAGCTCAGACTCTAGCTAAAGACTTCTGCATTAGAAATCATAATTCACATTTATTGTAAATGTCATCATGCCTAAGAGCTCTAGAGTGTATTTACAGTGTCAACCTGGGGCTTTTCTTGATGGATGCTTTGGTTTTCCTTTTTTTCCAGGAGTCCTACATATCAAAGCGTTGGTAGATTTCTTTCTAGTGATTCTGACAGACTTGATAGAGCATGAGGCATTGCCTCCTTACTTGAAGAGTCTTGGCTATTTTTCAACGGTTCACTGAAGACAGGCTTTGCAGTTACGTTTCCCTTTATCGTGAACGCAGTGAACAAAAAAGCCTGGTGCATCCTCAAAGCATGTAAACCGAGTTAATGTCCAGGAAACTTTCCCTCAAGCTGTTAGCACAGGAGAGTCAGGCTGTTAGCATAAGTTATTCCCTTCACCACAGGGGCCAGGAGAAACCTTGTTAAGCCATGAATTTCAGACCACAGTGATCTCTGTGTTGAAAAATGGGATGAGCAGATTTTCATCGGCAGATTCCAAGAGGTGTTTACATCCACGGCTCCTCCCCCCACCCCACTCCTCCCAGGGTGGATGGTACAACCCTATATGCCCAGATGGGTTTTAAATAATAGAAACACCCGAGCACCTGGCTTAGTTTGTGTGTTTGCCACCAAGGGACTATCAATTAAAAAGTGTCAACTACAGTAACAGAGGAGGCGAGTTACGAGGGGTGCAAGGTCTGGAGAAGCTGCTGTCTAAAACACGGGAGGAAGGCATGTAGTTCAAGTGTGACTGTTCTCTCTGAGCCCTGTGGTTGGCATAAAATGACACCTGCCTCTAGGTAAACATGGCTAAAGCCCAGTCCAAGGGAATTTCCGCTGACCGATTTGAGAAACATCAACAAAAGCACATCAGAGGTGCTCCAGCCACCCAGGGCAAGGGGCTCCCCGGGGCACGTGTCTGTGGGGGGGGGGGGGAGAGTGTTTAGCCTTTCCTTCCCCACACAGTTCCTTCAGCCAACCCCCTCCACTGCTCTGAGCCCTTCTCTCCGCTTCTCCCGTTTGGGACTCTAAACCTGGATTTGCTCGCTGGCGAAATGCAGGGTGTGATGGGAGGAAGGGCTCAAGGGGCAGCTGAGGAGGGTGAGGGAAGGTCTCCAGGTAGCACTAGAGAGCCTAGACCAGACGATGAGGTCGTGAAAAATTGGGGGTGAAGGGGGCCTGGGGCGGGACCGCAGAAAGGGGTGCTGCTCGGACACTCACCTGCTGCTCCGGCTCGAAAGCTGCGAACAGTGTTGCCTTCGCGCAGGGGCTGGGGGCGCAAGGGCTGCGCGCTCCGCTCCGAGGACCCTGGTGTCCGCGCCGCTTTGGCCCTGCCGCCGCTGTACCTGTCATAGAGCCGCAGCATGTGCTCCGACACCTTATCGTGCGGCCGCAGCTCGGGGCCGGGAGCACCACCTGCTGAGCGGTCACCTGGCACAATCTTGCTGAGCTCCGGGAAATGCCGCTTCAGTCTCTCGCCCTGCGCCAGGCTAACGCAGAAGCAGCCCAGCCACAGACAGAGCAGCCTGCGCGCCCCTGCCATAGCGAGGTCCCGGTGGCGCGTCCACTCCTTGCGTCGCCGGGGGACACTCCGAAGGCGCGAGGGGCTCTGGGGACTGAGCCGAGGGTTGAACAAACTGCCTGAGGCGAGAGCGCCCGGAGCCCCGGGCACTGCCTGAGCAGGACAGCGACGAGCCCCGCTTTTTGCTCTGGCGTGTCGCAAAACGGCAGGTGGGCTCCTCACGGACCGCGGCGCGGATTTCACAGGCGCAGGGCGCTGCAGGCGCCGTCTTCACTCCTCCGCTGAGAAAGAGCTTAAGTTGTGGGTGTGTGGCCAGGGTGTTTTCAGGATCTGTCTTTACCCTCACTGCTTTATTTTCCGGCACACCCGTCCGTAGCGCGGCGCTGGGGACCCGGACTAGCGCTGCGTGGGGCACGGAGCGGGGTGCGCACGGCGGGCCCGCTGGCTAGCCTTTTCCTGGGATTGAAGCAGCTGTGGTGCGCCCGAGCCGAGTTTTGAGAGTGTGAGTGTGAGTGTGTGTGTGTGTGTGTGTGAGAGAGAGAGGGGAGGGGGGGAGAGAGAGAGAGAGAGAGAGAGAGAGAGAGAGAGAGAGAGAGAGAGAGAGAGACTTCTTCCTCCGCCTGATCTGTACAGTCCCAGCCAGTCTCGCCCTCTCCCTCTGTGGCTGCCTGGACCCTACTGCAGCGAGGACAGAAGGGAACCGGGAAGTAACAGGCAAACCAGCAGAGGGAGAGAAAGAAAAGGAAGTAGGGGTGGTGGTGGTTGGTGAGAGGAGGGGGAAAGGAGAAGATCTACGAAGAAAGAAAGGGTAGGAGGGACCGTTTTGTTGTTGTTGTTGTTGTTGTTGTTGTTGTTGTTGTTTTAATCCCCTTCGAGAACATTGACTGTGCTCTGGCCGGCAGGAAGGCAAAGGAAAATAAACCTCTTTCTGGCTTCATTCTCCTCTGATTCCAAACGAAATCAAGACATGAACACCATCCTCGCTTCCTTTCCTGAGTCTCTCCTAGTAGAGGGCACGGACCTTGCACCTGTGCCTGTGCAGTGTGGCAGTCCCGCCCGGTCTCTCTGAGAAGTTACTGTAATAGCTTCTTCTCTTCTTCATCTTTCCCCTTGCATCTCCCCCCACCCCCAGGAGAAAAAAAAAATGTGCCAGTCAATCCCGTCTTAGACACAAATAAACAAGCAAACACAACCGTGAACACCCATCCCACCTGAAGAGATTTCTCTGCAGGATGGTGTGTGGTGGCGAAGTGCAAGGGTTTCTGGGAGACCCCTCCCCCGAAATCCAGAGTAGGCTCTTAGAGCGGCTGACTATGAGATCCTTCCTCACCCTCTCTTTTCTTGGCTGTAAAATGGCCATTAAGTTACTAGCTAACGTTTTTCCCATCACTTGCCATGCCCTAGGCACTTGTTATTTATATTTCATGTGTATTATCTTTAAACAATTTTCATAAGGAAGCCCATTTTACGGATGAGAAAACTGAGGCAAAAGGACACTCATCGATGGCAGAGCTGATCTGTAAACTCAGGGAGTCTGAGTGCTGGGCTCAGTCCTTTAATCTTCACATTATTCCTAATTAGAAACTGGCACTTAAACTGAAGTTTCCATGTGACAATTCATGTAAATCTTCTTATCACCGTGTCTGGCCTGGCGCACTAAAGCTCTCAGTAAATGTCTTTTGAAGCTCTGTTTCCTCTTTGGGAGCTGACTGGGGTTTATTGAAAAGAAGACTGGCTACAGGACCACACTGAGCTTCCAAATTTCAGTTCCTTCTTTGAAGGTGAATAACAACATAGCCCTTTCAGAGTTTTGTTTGGATGAGACTAGAAAACACTGCTAAAGTGACTAGCTTTTTGTTGGGGCTCAGTCCCTTATTATCGGAAATTTATCCCCGATGCAGACTGCATTCTCTGCACACAGTCACTTCTCAACCCCTTGCAGTGGGGTTTTCCTTTAGATACCCGCCACTCCAAACTGTTCTGCAGATACTGATGCATACATTAAGGGTTATTATCTATTCTACAGATAGTAACACAGACTTGTGAGGATTAAATGAGATTGTGCGTGAGGTTTCCTTAGCATAAAGAACATAATAGCTTTTTTGATTAATGATAAAAAGTTCAAAATTCAATAGGCCCTGGAAACTCTCTCCCCTTTGTTTTAGCACTATGAATCTTTGGTGTTTTCCCTTTCCTTCCTACTTTCTGTCAGCTCTGTGAGCCATCTCCTCTTTCTAGGCCTGTCTCCAATGTTATTCACATCTTCATACTCTGCCCTGGAAGGATGCCAAATTGAGAAGAAAAATCTTCTGCTTTGGTGATCACCTCTGACCTTTGAATACATGCTTCTGAGTGTTCCACAGCCCCACTCTATGTTGCCAAATTTTATCTTCCTCCTCTTTGAAACCATCCCTGAGACTTCTCTTCCTTCAGCTCTAGTGCAAATTTCTATAGCAAACTTTGCCACTCTCTATGTACTTCCCCTTTTTGCACTTCCATTTTCTTTTTTAAAAATTATGTTTTATTGATTATGTTTACTGTTGTCCCAATTTTTCCCCTTTTGCCTCCCTCCACCCAGCACCCCCCGACTCCCTCAGACAATCCCCACACCTTTGTACATATCCATGGGTCATGCGTATAAATTCTTTGGTCACTCCAATTCCTATACTGTACTTTACATCCCCATGGCTATTCTGTAACTACCTATTTGTACTTCTTAATCCTCTTACCTCTTCACCCATTCCCCACACCCTCTTCTATCTGGCAGCCATCAAAATGCTCCGTGTTCATGAATCTGTCTCTGTTCTTCTTGTTTGCTTAGTTTGTTTTTTAGATTCAGTTGTTGGTATGATAGATATGTATTAATTGCCATTTTATTCTTCATAGATTTGATCTTCTTTTTCTCAAAAAGCCCCTTTAACATTTCATATAATAATGGTTTGGTGATGAGGAACTCCTTTAATTTTTTTCTTGTCTAGGAAGCTCTTCATCTGTCCTTCCATTCTAACTGATAGCTTTGCTGGACAGAGTAATCTAGATTGCAGGCCCTTGCTTTTCATCATTTTGAATACTTCTTGCCGGTCCCTTCTAAGGGACCTGCAAAGTTTCTTTTCAGAAATCAGCTGACAGTATAATGGGAACTCATTTGTAGATAATTCTCTGCTTTTCTCTTGCTGCTTTTAATATATTCTCTTTATCTTTAACCTTTGGCATTTTAATTATGATGTGTCTTGGTGTAGACCTGTTTGTGTCCATCTTGTTTGAGACTCTGTTCTTCCTGAACTTTCATGTGTTATTTCCTTCACCAAATTAAGGAAGTTTTCTTTCATTATTTTTCAAATAGATTTCCAATTTCTTGCTCTTCCTCTTCTTCTGGCACTTCTAATGATGTGAATATCGGAATGTTTGAAGTTGTCCCAGAGGCTGCTTACACTATCCTCATTTTTTTTATTCTTTTTTCTTCTTATTGTTCTGATTAGTTGTTTTTTGTTTCCTTATGTTCCACATCATTGGTTTGATTCTTAGATTCATCCACTCTACTGTTGCCTCCCTGTAAATTGTTATTTTTTTTCAATTAGTGTATCCTTCATTTCTGACTATATCTTTGTTATGCTGCTGAGATCTTCATTAAGTTCCTTTAGCATCCTTATAACCAGTGTTTTGAACTTTGCATCTGATAGATTATCTCCATTTTTTTTAGTTCTTTTTTTCTGAAGTTTTGATCTGTTCTTTCATTTGGGTCACATTTCTTTGTCCCCTCATTTTGGCAGCATTCCTGTGTTTGTTTCTATATGTTAGGTATAGCTGCTATGACTGCCTCGGTAGCATGGCCTAATGTAGTAAGTGTCCTGTAGAGTCTAATGGCAAAGCCTCCCCTATCACCCAAGCTGGGTACCCTAGGTGTGCCTTTCATGTGGGCTGAGTACACCCTCTTCTTGTAGTTGCACCTTTGTTGCTCGTGGCAGATCAATGGGAGGAATTTACCCAGGCTAGATAGGTGCAAGGATTGGCTGTGACTACTGAACACCAACCTCTGCCCTCCATGGAGCATCAGCTATTCAGGGGCTGGATGATGGTGCTCTGGTGTGGTCTGTAGCATGCTATGGGGTTTCCCAGGTGGTGAAGGCTAAGATCAGTTCCCACTTGTGTTCTTCCTGGGTCCACCCTGCCTGCGCTGTAAAACAATCTGAGATGGCTGCTACTTGTGCCGGGCTTGGAGATTTCCAGGCAAAGACAAGCTGTGAGCTTAGGCTGGCTGCTGCTAGTGCTGTGCCTGGGGCCATTTAGCAAGTGGTATAGGGGCTGTGGGCTCACTGAGGCTGGCTGTTGCTTGTTTTAAAGGATTTAGGAAGTTGTGAAGCATAAGCCAAGAAGAGCTATTCATATGGAAAGGCCACTGTTAACAGCTGTAATTTGGGTGAGACAGAGCCTCAGGGGATTTCCAGGTCAGGGCAAACAGTGATAGCTAGATTGATGTAGTCTCAGATACGGCACCCACCTGCCAGTTCTGTGGCTCTGTGGGTGGAGGGTTCAGAAAAGGGACAATGGCCTCTACCTGCCTTTCTGTCCGGGAGAAAACTGTCTCCCAGCTTCTACTTTGATGCCAGATACTTCAGTTCCTCCCTGTATGCAGTTGGTGCCTTTAAGCTGCTATCCCGGTGTTGGAGCTTGGAGGGAGAAGGTCTGAGTAAGTCCATGTGTGGGTTTTTTGAGTAACTGCTTGGGTCCTAGCTGGTGTGGCTTAATAACTTGAGTACCAGCCTGTAAACCAAAGGGTCACTGGCTCGATTCCGAGTCTAGGGCACATGCCTAGGTTGCAGGTTAGGTCCCCTGTAGGGGGTGTGTAAGAGGCAACCACACATTGATGTTTCCTTCTCTTTCTACCTCCTTTACCTACTCTGTAAAAATAAATAAATAGAATCTTTAAAAAAAAAAGAAGAGGAACTGCTTGGGACTCTAGAATTTTCTTCCACTGACTCAATCCTTGCTGGTTTTTGCAACCAGAAATTAATGGGGACTTACCTTCCTGGCACTGGAACCCT